TCGTGAAACTTGAAGGGGCTGAGAAGTGGGAGACTGCCTACGAGAAAAACCAGACTTTTGAGAAGGTTGATTGTATTGGGAGTATATTGTGTTAGACCATTCGGTCTCATTACAGCGCGCGTGTTCTTCTAAAAAAGAGATTAAATTTTTTAAAGTGGGTAAAGACTGACGCGACCCATGTCTACGCTCGAAGAGAGTGCGGAGCTCACCTTTGAGTTTTCGCACCACTATCGAGACAAAGATATAATCGCAGTCTTTCATGGGCAGATCTAGATTACTAAGGGCTGATTGCGCGGAAATCAAAGGTGTCAAAAAGAGTGTGCGGATATTAGAGCGTGAATGTATATTTGGGAGGCTCATTATGATGTCCACAAACCTATCAATCAGCACGCGGCGATTCTCGTAGCGCCTGGTTAAAATGTCCAAGGCAACGGAGAAATTCTCATTAGTAATTTTGAGATGAGACACCATACCAAGCGCTTCGCCCGATAGGCATGAAAACAAATAATGGAGTTTGACAGAATCTGAGAGAGTGAGCATATCATCCGTGAGACTTTTAAAAATTGTGATAAATGAAGGCCAATCTTCGACCTTTGAGCTGAACTTGGGGAGGGCAATTTTAGGCAGAACAGTCGTCAGCGTACTAGAAGTTGAGGGTTGAGAGCTGGGTGAGGAAGCGAGTTTATTTTTTTGCTACTAATGATGGTAGTCAGCAATCGAGGTCTCATAATTTTTTGTGTACATTTTTTCCTGCTCCTCTGAGAGATCCTCGTCATCGAGGATCTCACAATATACATCTTCTAGTTTAGATTTATTGGTATCCAATCTAGGCAAGCGAGCAGACAAATCGGCCATATCATATTTTATTCTGTCCCCAGCCAGTATGGACAAGGCAATTTCCTTTAATAATGTTATGAATTTTGTTGCTTCTCGAAAAATAGCTGCCTGAGATTTCGACGGCATTGATAACAATATATGGACTTAACTAAACAAAGATGAAGAGACAAGAAAAAAAAAATGTGTTCTAAAAATATTTACTTAATAAAAAAAACAAAATGGGGCACCCTGTATACTGAACCTACCCTGTGTAATGATAATGTAAATGAAAACAATTTTTTTTTTTCAAAAACCTTTTGACCTACTGTTCTACACCGAACTATGGCAAAAATCAAAGTTACAGTTGATTTACTGTTGTGAACTGTACTGTGGCGCGCAAGCACCTAAATATCGTAGGAATTGTAAGTACCGGTAAAATGGGGCGATTAGGGATTGAGAGGCGAATCGGGAAAAAACCGGGAAAATCTTTCGACGCTCAATATAAGTTTTATATTCGTTGCAAAATCTTCCATTTTTTGTAGTTTAATAGTAGAATGTTGAAAGTTCACAAAACAACTCTGAATATGCATGATAATAGCTGCTAACTTATAAAAAATCGCGTTTCAAATTAACTTCCTGTGGTGGTAATTATTTTAGTGCTAGAAACTTTGCTCTCTTTTATTTATTTGATAATAATAGAAGACGACTATGATTTATAAACGTTATTTAGTGTTTGAACCAGCATATATATTAAAGGTAAGTCTCAGTTGTTATTGGTTTTAATGTATTTGATTAAATAAAAATACATGTAAAAATCTGTTGTTTTTGGGGATATTGGGGACGTCTTAGGTACAAATAACAACGAAAAAGGGGTCAATTGGGATGAGAATACGTGAAATGGAAACGACCTAAGTATAAATAGGTACAGGTTTGTAGGGTTGTATATGTAGTTATAACAATATTTTTTGTTGGTAAAAATCTGGTTTATTCGAAGCGAAATTGGGAATAAGTCTTTAGTTGAAATAGATAAGCAATTTAATATAAGTAAGTCGATTTTGCAGAGACATGTAACAAGATCAATGAAATCTCAAGGTGGACAAAAATGTCTAAGTAATACATAATAAAATATTTAATATTTGTTCAGAGTGGGGGTATTCATCTGATTAATCCATGGAATAACCGACACACCTAATCTCTTAACCCAGATAGAAATATCAGCCCCTAAGTACTTACCAAGAACGGAGAAATATAAACCGTTTCTAAGAAAGCCCACTATATATGTATAAATATATATATATATATATTGGCGTCTTTGCACACATAGTTGATCCAGCCCGATCCCTATTCACTATTTGATCCACCTTTGCACGCGAATAACGTTGTTCCGTTTCGACATATTTTGCCCGGAGTGGCAACGTTGCATTTTGTTTTGCGATGTTGCCAGATATATTCCATAAAAAAAGTATCTACTCCAGTTTTCACTTCGTCGAAAGTTTAGACAAATGTGAATCCGTAACGGCTTTTTTTATTGTACTCACTCGTAAAATTTGGATCCGATATATGCCATAATTACAATACTGAAGTTGATCCAGTATAATATATATTAGGACGAAACGGTTTACTTCTGATCCGCGATAGGGGTGGGCAGCGCGGGGCTGTGCGAGACAGTCAACAGCTTATTCGTATGAGAGCGTTCGGAGAATACGTATGTTTATTTACGTTTTAAGTAAAGATTTGTGTATTGTGCTGTGTGCGTAACTTTGCTGCTATGGATACCGAGACTAAAGGTACGTATTATTAATATTAGTTATATAATACAGTGAATAATTTTAAACAATACGGTTAAACGAAGATAAATTTCAATTACAGCTGTTTATCCAGACAATGGTTCATCGTTAATAAGGCACTATTTAATAGAAAATTCGTGAGTGTTAGAAAACTAAATGTTGTCTTTGGTTCTGGTTTACTATTATAAATATGTACCTACCTACCTAACTCCTTACGCCTACACATTAATATATTTAATTCTTTGATATTATTTCAATACCGCATATTAGCATTAATGAACACAGCGTTAACCATTAATAAACTCCAGACTGTTATTGAGCAGCCGCGATTTGACTGATAACGTCTAATGAGGTGATATGAGAAATGAGGGAATTCTCCGGCATCGACCGAGTTCACGACTAACTAATTTCATTAGCTTTTATCTAAGGTGCGGGGAGTCGACTGACTTATTTTGAATATGCTATTTGTATTAACACCTACGTCACTGGAAACTGCCACCACATCAATTATTATGATATGCTTATTTTTATTTAAGTAACTAACACACAATTAAATTAGTTAAATGAACTATTAAAATGGGACATTTATTTAAAGCAGTGATAGGGTGTCGTTAACATTACTTTCGAGGTGTTTTTTTTGAAAAATTGTGGTGGTTACACCCTTAAATGTAAATGGTCATAACTCTCAAACGGACATGTTTTTTTCGATGATTCTTTTTGTAACTGCATATTAAAACTATGCCTTATCACGAATAAAATTAAGTGTCCCATTTTCATGCGCACCCCGTGTAACACAGAATTATTAGCATGGTAAATGGTGTTTGAGCTGTGTTGCTTGAACGTGCATGTTCTTGAAGAACGCTTCAGCGTGTTGCAACGCTTGCTTATTTACTAAATTACCAAGTTATAAATCAATCTCATACACATAAACGCAGGTAAAGAAGATGCAGAGTCCGAGAGCAAGACTCATCCCTGTCCGTATTTACCCGCTTTAGACGATGAATTAACGGATTCCGAAACTTCTATTATTGGGGAAATTGATACCATAAAATTGAGTAAATATGATAAAATTCGTTTCGATGCAATGATATGCCTCTCAGAACCAGTATCTGAAGATTCAGAAGAAGAGTTGGACGTTTTACGCCTCAATCATGATTTGGTAAGTCAATATTAATTTGTATAATTTTACACACAGAGCTATTCATCCCCATTTTACTGCGAATAGTGTAGAATAAAATAGAGAAGATGCGTCCACCGCCCACATCATACTCCGACTGTGCTCAGATCGCGGGCCTACTGTACTACATAACTTTACGCTTAGCGCGATAGGAGGGTAACAGTAACAATTTAATGCGGGCGAACCGCGAAATAAAGCTAGTATTAGGAATTTGTAATACCTTAGTTTTTTTTTTTTTTTTTTTCATTTATGTTTTGAACTTATGACTATACCTAATACATAATATCTGCATTTTTCTAGAAAAAACATCCTGATAATATCCCTTTTATGGTACCTTCCACGAGTGCACAATCGGATGAGATTTCAGAAACTGATGACGAGGCTGTTACTACAAAAAAATCTAGGTAAGCACATAACAAAACATATTTGTAGGCAGGAAATCTAAAGCATACCTAGCTTTTAAAAGTTGCTTAACAATTTAGTGAACTTAATACTTCATATTGTTTTAGATTAGAGAAGATAAATTCTTTGAATCATCATTCAGTAGATGAGAGGTCTAACGTGCTGCCTAACTGCGTATATGACTTCACCAGCCAAGAAAAATGTAACGTAAACGTAAGTAAAAACTATCTTATTTTTGTGATTATGTTAAATTCATTGGAAAAACACATCTCAAAATGTAATACATAATATGGGTTACCTGATTGTATTAAACTTTTTAGATTTTAGTTATTTTATTTATCATAATATGTATTAATAACAAAAATGACGTGGTAGTCCACTAAGGGCACCCGTCCGAATCGCATCCGCGTGTCGAATAGGTATATTAACGTCCTATAAAAATACATCACAGCACTAGGCTACTGAGTTATAGGTCCTCTTTGTGGCCAAAAATATTTATACGCCTTTCGTGGACTAGGCTAGGTGCTATTCGCGCTGCTGCGATTCGGGCGGGTGCCCTAAGTGGACTACCTCAAAATTTCGTCACCCTTTTAGTTTGACCTACATAAGGGATACATTTGACGTGGTTGCAATGGATTTTAGGTACCTTACAAGAAGAGGTTAAGAAATAATAATACAGGGAAAGATATATTCTACAACGAGAAAAGTGACGACGATGGTGATTTCTCTGCGACGGATGAATCGGATTACGCGAGTGATAAGGACGGTACAACAACTCGAAAAATAAAAAGACTAATTGGTAAAGGAGCTCTTAAAACAACTTTGATACATAGGGAGACAAGCCCTTCAAAAGTAAGTCAAGAACATTGTATTTATATATTTTTTTCATGTTGTGTCTCGTTTTCAAGAAATAGTAACTATGGTAAACTTTTAGGACGCGCCGGCTCCTGTTCTTGTTCCAGAAACACCTGAAGCATCATTTGATGAGGTAAACACATAATAATATATTTAAAAAAAAACATTCATATTTTTAGTTTGATGCGATACTAGTGCGACTCTTTCACTTTAAAAATGTAACAGTCACTTACTGAATTTCTTTTTCCGAAATGTGAAACAATTCTGAAAACTGCTCTTATTTAAAAATATAATAGTGTATTAATATCTAAGTTTAATACTATACTCTCTATTTACTATGTGAGTTTTTGATATATATATTTCTTTATTTCGACTCGGCAAAATTACTGCAACGCACCTCATGGAAAGCACGATTAGAACCTAGAATCGCTGGCGGCGGACGGAACGTATACAGACCTTCGACCGCCGTCAATGTCATGCCAGGTACTTCTGGGTACTGAATATACCGCACCTGATCTCTGAACGCGGTCCGCAAATGCTTGTATTAAGAGCCTGTTCATATAATCGCCAAACATCATAACTGACAATTAAAGACAGTATATCAAATTTATTCCTTATTTCATTAAGACTAAGCAGGTAATAGGTAGCTGAACTGTTGTTTTTTCTAGTGCAAAAATTAATTGATTTTAAACTTTTAGGTTTCGGTTTCTACGGGCCTATTTGTTGCAGAATCACCGGAGACGTCTGACGAGGAGGCAAGAAAGTTCTTAAATATCTGTTATTACATTTTTGACCATTTAGTTAATAATAATTTGTAATATGTAATACCAGACAATAATTATTGACACCTATTCTTTCAGCTGTTTGTGCGTTAAAGAGCAACAAACAGTCTCACACACTGAAAAACCACTTGCAACACACACACACGTACTCGCACGCACACACACACATTCACACACACACACGAGCTCACAAACTTTCTAATTTATAATATTAGGTATATATGTCCGTATACAGAATAATTATACCTATCTCTTTTTAGGTGGAATTTTCATCACTATCTGCAAGTGCAAGTAAAAGAAAATGGGACAGGCGCAACTGTTGCATATTTTGTGAACAATTAGTTACAAACTTCACTAGACATTTATTTAGAAATCATTCAGATGAAATAGATGTTCAAAAGCTTTTATCTATAACAGATCCAGATCCTAAAGTACAAAAAATTAAAAGAATAGCTGTGACCAACGATTTAAGAAATCGTGGCAACTACCTTCACAATAATAATGTTGTCACTGATAATGAAGGATGTATAATACCAAATAGACGAAAAAATTACAAAGAATTACCTCAAAGCCCATCAGGCTACGTTGTTTGTAAAAAATGTCTAGGTACATTTAAAAGATCAACTTTTTATAGACACAGCAAAAAATGTATGACTGAAGATAATATGAAGAAAGATATGAACCGTGTCATCACAAGTCACTCATTCAGTATCATGCCAAATTTCTTGAACAACATCTCGACAGAATTTAAAGAAAATATATTACCAAAACTACGTAACGATGAATTAGCATTAATAGTGAAAAACGACCCTTTAATTATCGCATATGGTTGCCGACTACACAAAAAAAAAAAGGAAAGGAGAAGTAGAAAATCCATCTGTTCTAAAATGCGGGACCTGGCATCTCTTTTAAAAGTTGTGCGGGAAAAACACCCCGAAATAGCTCAATTACGAGATATGATTGACCCTAAATATTACGAGTATTTTATAGAGGGGGTTAAAATATTAAGTGGTTTTGACGAAAAGACTGGCTACGTAAATGTGGTCAGTATGCCAGCAAGAATTCGCCCTGAAATATTAGGCTGCATTGAAATAATGTTTACAAATACAATCATGGACCCTCACAAATCTACAGCATATAAAGATTTTATTAAAAATAAACTATCTGAGTTCAAAGTGCTACTTGAATCCAATTGGCAATGGGAGATTTCGTCAAACGCGGAGAAAACGCGCAAACGTAAACTTATGACTAAGTCTCAGGTTATGCCACTAGAAAAGGATATCGAAAAATTAACCATGAAAATACACGAATTAGAAATTAAATATTATAACGATTTAAAAAAGGATATTAGTATCATTAATTACGAAAATCTTTGTGAGGTCACAATAGCGCATATCATTTTGTTAGATCGCAAACGAAGTGGTGACGTCGCTGAAGCGGAATTGCAGTATTACCTTAATAGAAAAACAGAAGAAATTCCACCTCAGGTTTTGGAAATGCTAGACGAAGACCAAAAAAAAGCAATAACTGATTTGGATATATTTCAAATACCCGGAAAACGTGTACGGTCAGTACCAGTATTGTTGACAAAAACGATGAGTAAAAATATCGATCTAATTATTTCATGCAGATCAAGCTGTAATATTTCACCCAACAATGTGTACTTGTTTGCGCGTCCACTAACCGAAGAACCTTTTAATGGAGGGCGATGTCTTAATAGAATTAAAAGCATGTGCAATTTAAAAAAACCAGAAATGGTGACCGCTACCGGCTTGCGACATCACATCGCTACAGTTTCTCAAGTTCATGCGAAACAGAATGACAAATTCACCGAACATCTGGCCACTTTCTTGGGACATGATATGCATGTTCATGCCAGCAATTATAGACTGCCCCTGCAAGCCATTCAAAAGGGCCTTGTGGGTAGCAAACTACTAGAATTTGAAAATCTCACAAACCTGAAGATGACTGGCCAGAATAAAAAGATAAATAGTAATAATGAGAAACAGACCAGAAATGAAAAAGATACTGAAAAGATAAATGAGAATGATGAAGAAGAAAAAAGGAGAATAGAAGAAAAAGAAAAGATAAATCAGAATGATGAAGAACAGCAAAGGAGGGAAGAAGAAAAAGGAAAGATAAATGAGAGTGATGAAGAACAGAGGATAGAAAACAAAAAGATAAATGAAAATAACGAAGAACAGGGAAGATCAGAAGACGTGGTCTAGTTATTAGATTTAGAAAGCCCCATTAAAATCTCTAAAAAACAAAAAAGGGTGAATCAGATACAATCTAATGATGAATCCAGTGATGCAATAGAAATAGATGTAGGCGATTTGAAACCAAGAAGAAAAAAGATTAATACGAAATGGAGTAAAGAGGAAATCGATGCCGTAATGCGCCATCTGAGTAAATACATTAAAATGAAAAGAAATCCTGGAAAAGCAGTATGTAGTGAGCTATTGAAAAAAGAACCTGTGCTCTATAAGAGAACATGGATGCAGATTAATTCATATATAAATAACATTTATAAAAAGAAATTATAATTTTTTGTTTATTATTAAAAACTATAAATAAAACCTTATAAAAAATACCTAACCTAAATAACCTAAAAATTATAGATAAAACCGCCAAAATCCAAATGTTGTGATTGGTTTTTGGCGGTTTTATCTATACTGTTGATCATATCAAATATAATTTGGATTTTACTAAATAAGCATGCAAATTATATTTCAATATGTTAACTGTTATTAAATTAATCTTATGAACAATGACGGTTAGATTAAACTAAATGTAGAAAATTATTATCAATAATTCTTGTCATACATAACCTCATTTTTGAAGTAGGTTACAAAATATATTCATTTTGTAACCGACTTAAAAAATGAGGTTATGTTATTTCAGTTTTTTTTATGTGTCAAGGTTTTGTGATTTTTCTTATTACTTTTATTACAACATTGATTGACCTTGTTAGTTTTATTACAACATTATGTTCTCACCCACTACTACAAAGACGATTTCATCTTATCTATATTTATTATTAACTAGTCGAAGATTTCATATTAAATGCAGGTACAAGACCCATGACGTCGTTCGCGCGGATTTGTTTCGACCACGGATCGATTCCCGGACCGCCCAAAATTGAGTTTCTTACGAGATGAAATCTACCTAACTCCCTATATCTACCTAGTAGTACAATATTCTGAAAATCTATTGAACCGTTTTGTAATGTAAAGTTTTGGGGAGCGCCCTCGACAGTTTATTGGCTCCATCATCAGATCGAACCCAGACCTTTATTAGATTTTAGTGCTTTCAAATACTTAATGAAAAAAATAAGAAACATGCTAGTCTCCCTTACGATTTTTGAAGGTTCGCCTCAATTTCTCTAGGATTTCATCATCAGACCCTGGTTTCCTTATCATGTGATCATCTTTGAGATATCTCCTTTCCAACAAAAAAAACATTATTTAATTCTGTTGATGGACGACGAATTTATCCGCGAACACGCATAACAAAAACCGTCTCCGTCTCTAAGTCGTGTCAGTTTTAAAACACAAAATTATTATATTATCACCAAAGATTTGGATTAACAATTAATAATAACAGAATGTGTTGCCGCTAACCAATTGTGTGGCACTTAATAAAATCCTGCGTTCTCATTGGTCCATTTGAATCGGATCAACACATGTAAAAATTCCAAAAAGGTGGATTTGTATAAAAATGGCATAATTATTATT